CGTACGTAAATATTATAGAAATTTGAATACACAGCAAGTCTTATAAAATATATTTAAATTTACCAAAATAAAGAATTCATAATAATCACCATACCTATATTATTTAAGATCATATTTTAGATTTAACTGCAATCTAAGTTGCAGTCGCTAATAATAAATTTAGAAAAGACTCATCATCTCATATACCTAATAGTCGAAACAAAAACAGATCTAAGGTTTAAATTTAATGGTCTATTAGGTAATCTAAAGATAGAAAGGGAAAGACAAACGAGACAGTGAAATATTAAGTTCAGTGCCTGGAATGTATCCCTGTAGTACTTTTTTTTGAATTTTTTTTATGTGTTTTGAATCTCCTATAGTGATGTTTTTATCATAAGAGCTAGTAATTCATTGGATGATCTTTGGATTAGTGTGAAGATGAATATTGATTATTCACTTGTGAACTAAGTTTGTTTTTTCTTAATGTCCCAGGACTGGTAACCATGTCAGGACAGGGAAGCAGTAACAGTGGCAATCCGATGCAAGGATCAAGTCTCCCTGGTGGTGGCTATCAACCGATGGAGTGCGAGTCATCGCCTCGGCATACGGCCAATCGACGCGTGGTAACAACAAGTTATCCGTCAACTTCGGCCACTGGGGTCTCTGCATCCGGGCCAATGTCCATGCAATCTGTAGACAGCTCCCTGATACAAAGCTCTCTTGGATCGTATAATAGCCTAATTCTCCCTGGAATACCCCATCTGCCTGCGATGATGACTTCACCGATGATTCAGCAGCAGAATTTCTACAATTACGGCTATCCGACGACTGATGCGCACGGGATAGTCAGGCAACCGTCGACAGTCTCAACCGGCAAACAGAGAGATCCGGAAAGAGAAGACAGTCCTATGGTTGGAGTATGCGTCCAGCAGAGTCCAGTAGCTATTCACTGAACGAAAAGAGCGAATGAAAACCACGACGACAGTAAATGATACAACTGTCGCCGCGATCGCGGTACCGTCAAAATATGTTAGGTGATTATACATACTATATATATATACAATGTACACTACACGACGATATCGCAAAGAACTTATCGAACTGTTTGTGAAAGCAAAACAAAAAAAAAATGGGGAAGAAAAAAGCGGAGAGCAATGAGAACGGGCAGTAGGAACTTGAAGGTCCTTCCCCGTTGCGTTGCTTTGCATTTCGTCGTTAAATGTCGGCTGCGAGAGTATCCCGATACAGAAATACCAGCGTACGATGCTGCCGTATAAAAGTGTCAAAATGAGAAAAAAAAGAAACAAACAAACGAAACTATCGACATTGGTAAAAGTACACTATTTCGATTTGAAAATGGGACAAATAGAAAAAAGTCAGGGTTTAACACAATAACTCATCGTGCGGGAAGCTCTTCGCTCCTTCGTTCATGAAAAGAGAGCTTCTAAGAAACATACGAGCCGGCTTCTAAGGAAATAAAGACCGAGAAAGATCGATTCGAAGAAGTATTACGAAGGAATGCAAAGGAAAACACGAGGGAAGTCTCCTCTTTTCCGTTTGTTTTTCTTTCCCTTCTTAGTCTTCTGTTTGTCTATCTTAAGAAGCCGACTGGTCTTACATTGGGCACGGATACACCGCGTCCGGCACAGAAGCTTATGATACTTTGCTTATGAGCACGGACGGACAAACATGGTCTAGTGAGGATGAACCCAGCTGGCCTCTCGGGTCCTGCCCGATTCTACGAACACTCCATAAAATGCTTTAGTCGCGTGCAGAAACGTTGTTATCAAAAAAAAATTTGGCACCCAAAACTGTGTGGCCTAGAGAGAGAAAACGTGATAATTACTATTATAAAGATGCATAAAAAAGCGGAGGAGGAAAAGTAAGAATTATCAGTGTAAGCATATACTCCAATAGAGTTTTATACACAATGTCACGGATGTAAACGGATTAGCAAGTAATTGCTAGCAAACAGTCGCGTCGAATGCTAGATATTTGTACAATATACATAGATAATTGATAAGAGTGCAGCTTTAGGATCTAGTTTTAAGTGTGAGAAGAGGACACTGACATTGTACACTCGACTCTTTTATTTACTTTGATGAATAGAGAAGAGGATGTTGCGAGCGTCAGTTTGTTGCTGATATAAAAGAACTTTAAACAAACGAGGTTTGCATGATTCAGACAACAATACATATTTATACAGAAGAAAGAAAAAAATACACAGTAATAAGAAAGTTAAAAAAAGCAGTATACATGTAAGATCGATCAAGAACGATATAATCATACAAAAACCTAGATACTTTATAATAAACGATACGCGCGTACTCATATGCATATGTTTCCAATGGCGGTCGTAATTGGTTTTTGCCGTTTCACTTCAATAATTATAGCGTTTATTTATATTATATTGTTATACCTTCGACGTAAGTTCGTAATCGTTTTCTGGCATTTGCGTACTTTTACTTCGTTAAATTTTGATTAACTAGGCTAACAAAAATCACTTTACAAAGTTCTTTCTCATATTATTTCTATCTTCTGTTCATTTAGCTATGAAGTACTAAAAGTAACGTGGTTACAGAAATAAGATGCCAGATTGCGAAACATTAAATACAAATAAATTGTGTCAATAGCGATAAGATAATATATATAAAAAAAATTAAAACGACACGACGGGCGATCTAAATTTTTCGATACTTATTAACGACACATACATTGCAACCAATAATAATCCTTGAGATATTTTGCATATTTTACTCTCGTTCTCTTTTTTTGCTGCGACGCATCTACTAAACAGATTGAACTTTTAAACATGATTTTATTAGATTTTATTGACGGTTTTGTATTATTTTATATGAAACAAATTACTACAATTATAGATTCAAACAATACTTAAACATTTTATTGTATACGGTATGTCAGCTTCTCGACGGTTTACTACGAGCATATGACGCTACATGTTTTTAACATTGATTAAAATCCTTTAATACATTATTTTTTAACGATATCGATTGTGGACTCATTAATTTGTATTGTTAAAATTTATTATGCTCACAATATGGTCAACTTTAAGCATGGTTTTGCGCATCTCAAGGAGTCTCAAATTTGTAATCTTTTTTTTGCGTATTGATAGTGAATTATTTCATGAGATGAATTTCTTAGAATATTGCATTTCTATTTGTTTTTTTTTCTTTTTTTTTGGTGTATTTGCCGATAGAATTAACGACTCACGAAACGATATTCGTTCGAATTCTTACTGAACGTTCTCGAGAACGAAACACTTGCGTTATTAGAGTAATTTCTCTTCGTCTTGATGTACGACGATCATTACGTATGATACTTTGGACTTTATAAGAAGCACAACGAGTTTGTGTTCAAGCTGAAATAAATGAGAAATGACAGACGCAATGGTGTGTACACTCGATCTAAAGTCACAATCACAAGCGATCAGGAGAAGCTCTTCAAATTCTATGTTAACGTGGAACGTTTTATCTCGACGACATCTCTCGACGGAAATAGTGAGAGTATAGTATGACTTTAGAGACGTATGATTTTTCAAGACAAAAACTACACGGAAACCAAAAGAAAACATAGATTGTTTGTCGAATTCGGTTGGAACACTACTGCAAAAGGTTCCGACATTTCGATAATCTTGTTGAACGGCAAAAATCAGTACGCTCTATAAACGTAGACGAAGTGTGTGAAACACACACGTGCCCTCTTCCAAATTCACATAACACGCGTTGCGCTCATTGGTCCGTTCGCGGCACCGGAATTTCGCTTCTCTCTTCTTTTTTTTTACTTATGTATTTTGGTACGAGAAACTTCGCTTTTTGATAAAGAAACGCAAAACGAGAAGACCGAGCGTAAGAGAACGTTGTCTAAGTCTTTCTTCTCGGCAAGAGAGGCTGAAGAAAGATGTAGGAGATCGACTTATGGGCGCAACGCAGCCTTTTCCAATGCATCATCGAAGCATTTTCTCATCCGAAGATTGTTGATTTTTAACAATAATATGATTATGCTTACGTTGTTCACGCGCAGCGAAATCATTGATTGTATCGCGTAGTTTCTAAACGTATGTAATACAATCCGCCGCTTTACAAGTGAAAACGACGGTCGTCATGCGAGACTTGAATTTGAAGGAAATTAATTTTGGGGATATACTGGCAACAGGAAATAAGGGAAAATGTTTAAACACGCTTCAAGCGATTATTGCAGATAAGAACTTGAATGTTACTCAGAAGAGTGGTGGTCGATTATTGGGTAAAGGTAAAAATTGGAAGAAAACATAAAAAAAAAGAATAATGCAACATGTCGGATTACGAAAGGGATTGAGAATATTCGGTTTGAAATGTGAAATTCGTAATTATACAGCAATAGATTGATTTCAAACACTCCAATTAATTTTTCATACGGAAACTTTTTACCAGAGAACTACGTTTTCGAAATATTTTCATATTTCTCCATTCATAATGTAATGCGTTTCTTATAGCTTTTGTACCCCGGGGAAAATTTGTCCACTCAACAATTGAAAAATGCAGAGTATTTATGCCAATTAGCAAACAACAGAGATGTATACATTTAAATAGAATAAGAACCGGTCACGGCTTGTGTTCCAAACAATTTCCGTTCCATGCTACGATTTTCTACTGAGGTATATATACAAATTTATTAACTTTTTATCATTTTAAAAAGGTAAAAAACTACCTATGCGAATTAAAAATATGAATTTCGTTCGCTGTTTTATTTGCGGAAAGCTGTAGAAAATATTTTTAAGTAAATTAAAAAATCCAACTATGCAGTGTAATCACAATTTAACACGATACGAAAGTATTAAATAGTTCATTTAATTCTGCCAACAGAAATTGCAATTCTATGCTTTTCGATACAAATTCTTTGGAACACACCGTGGCTGGATTAAAATAACATAAGTTTCCTAACGTCATGTGTAAAAACATTGTGTTCAGAAAATATATTATAACACGACTGATAATATTCCTGTTACGCGAAATGCGAGCGTCTTTCGGGAAATGAATGGTAAGAGAGTCGTCGTCTTAGCGTCTCGTTTGATGATCGCATACGCTGACCGACATGAAAATATAATGAATACAGAGAAACAAACTGAATTAAGAAAAACCGATTTATTAAGATGAAAATACTTAACAAACCTCCATACAAGATGAAAAAAAGTTGTATGTACCCTGTAAACATTTTCATTATATTATATTATTATTGCTACTACTACTATAATTATTATTATTATTGTTAGCTTATTATTTTTATTATTATTCCTCCCACTGCTATATCTACTGTTGTTTTACTATTATTAATATTATGATTCATATTTTTATTATTATTTTATTATAATTATTACCATTATTTTTATTGGTATTACCACTGCTACTCCTCCTCCTACTACTACCACTACTACTACCACTACCACTACCACTACTACTACCACTACTACTACCACTACTACTACCACTACTACTACCACTACTACTAC